TAATAACTTACACAAAGTTATACTTAACGGGAAATTTTTACCTAACTCTGTCTTGTTTGTGTTGTTTAATAAGAATGCTGTCAGGTATGTACATCCATTAAGCATGTCAACAATTAAGTTGACAAAATTAAAATTAGAAATTAAAGTTAACGTATTTAAAAAATGTAGGGCGATTAATTGTTTATATGAATAATAAAAATTATAAAAAATATTTTTTTATCAAACAATGTTTTTATAATTTCAAATTATGTGATATCGAATTATCAATACTTAATTTCTTATTATGGGCTTAAATATGTTTTTAGTCCCTCAAATTTAGTCTCTCAAATTTAAAATTATTATTTTTAGTCCCTGTAATTTCAAAAATATTATTTTAGTCTTTATATTCAAATTTTGTTAAGAAATTTATCAAACATTGTTACATAAAATCTACCTGTCGGTACTCCTATTAGTGAAAATATCACATTAAATCCGGTTAATATCACATAATTGTCTTAATTAGTCACTTTCAAATATATTATTGGTGATCTAAGGGACTAAAACAAGATTTTTAAAAATTATAGGGACTAAAAATAATAATTTTAAATTTGAGGGACGAAAACCAAATTTACCTTAAAATTGAGGGACAAAAAACATATTTAAGCCTTTATTATGCAATCAGTGATTATATATGACGAAAAAATGTAATACTTGTTTTTCTTTACAAAATTCTGTTATTTCCAAACTATTTTTCAAACTTTTGTTAGTTAAAAAATTGACTATTCTTTAATCTTAATAATATGAATAAAATGAAAATTAAATTAGTTTTCTAAAGAAGAAATTTGAAATATAAGAATTTTTAATCGCTTCATTCAAATAAAAAGAAATTTCATTAAATTGATCAAACTTATTCAATCTTTTAGATTTTTAATTCTTTTTTAGTTTTATCTTCTTTTCTCAGATTCTTTAACTCTTATCTTTAAATTTGTCACGTGTGTAATTAATTTTAAAATAAATTACATTTTTAGTCTTCATTTATAAGTATATTTTATTACCTAAAAGATCACATTCTCGTTTTAAATGAGTTAAATGTCACCGTGAAAGTCTTACCTCTATTAAAAAAATGAAAATGTCAATAAGATGTTAAAGTTTCCCGTAGAACAAATTTTAAGGTCACAATATTCATTTTTCATAACGGATAAATTATTATTTATAAAATCTATACTTTGTCCTCATTCCATATATTTATAAAAGGAAAGCATAACAAGTGAGAGTGGTATCTAATTTGTTCCTTTTATTGATTTTGTTTTCTATTAAATTATTGGTGTATGTTACTATCAAGTTGAATGAAAGCAGGTCTTGCATTTTATTATTGATTAATTATACCCAAAGACACATTTTTGCATAATTCATACAAATTACAAATATAAGTTTAGAAACAAAAAAACTTTAAAATTGTGAAGTGTCAAATCGTTACATATAATTTTTTTTTAGCGATTATGATATAAAATAATTTATTGACTATTGTTTAGAGATTTTTTATTATAAAAAAACAAGTTAGTTTATGTTTGTTTATTATTACATAAATATTTGTTTCTAAAAGAAACATACAATTTTATGAGAATTTTTAAAAATAAATTATGATTTCAATCAGATTTTAAATCCTTTTCAGCTTCCGATTATTTTAAAATTTCAAAAATATACATGAAAATATTATTTTTTTAAAATTATATGTTAAAAACATTTATTTATTATTATATTAAAAATACTAGTATTTATAAATTAGAATAATTATTTTAATAATAACACTTTTAGTTATTTTTGTTTATTGAGAGTGCATTTAAGATTTTTTTTGATGTTTAAATCAAATATTAATATTTTAAGAATCAATTATTAATATTAATTATTTATTATAAATTTAAAATATAACTTATATAATAAAATTATTTATTGCAAATTATAATTATAATTTATATTCAAAAATAATTATTTAGAGTATCTAAATCAATAAAAATATTATAAAAAAAAATCTAGAATGCAGGACAAAAATTTGAAATACAGTCTATTTTGAACCTGTTATATAATTGATGTAAGACTTTCACTTGAACGTAAATAATTAGATCGATTGGCCACTTAATTGCAAAGATTCTGACAAAAAAACACAGTCACTTCATTCATGATTATTTAAGGCTCTTAAAGTAATTTAAATTTATTTCACATTTTAATTTCATTGACTACAATATTTTTTTATAGAGAAAATATAACTTTTCATTATCAAAGAAAAAAAAAATACCATAAAAAAACCCTGATGCACTGTTAAAAAAAAAGCTATGTCAGCAATTGTTTAATTCTAGCAAAATAACAATAAAATAATAAAATATGAGAATTATAAAATAAAAAAAGTCAGCATTCATAACATTATTCCATCGCTTGAAATTATGTCAGCATTTATATGTTGAAAATAAGAAACATAAATGATGGATAGCCATGCTTTCTTTTTTTCTTCTTATCTTCTGAAAAAAAAAATGCAATTAAGCATATAGTAGCATAAATTATATTTACCGTTTAGTATAGGTGGTAAAAAAAGTTACTTCCTTTTTAATTTGAAGTATTGTATTCCATTTTGTGACTAGAAAAAAGTAAATATTAAAAATATTTCTTTATATGAATCTTATCATAGTTAAATCAGTTGGCGTTAAAAAAAATAATATAAAAAATGTCATATAGAAAACAAAATAATATAAATTTTGTATACAAAAGATAAGAAATTATGATAAATATTTTTAAAATAATTCATATTAATAATAAAAGATATTCACTTTTATTTTTTCGTTTTATCTTTAATTATTATATATAACCTCTGATAATCATGTAACTATGAGAATAAATTTATTAATTTTTTAATGGAGGTGAGTAGTATTTTTATTTTAGTAATTATTACAAGTATAGTAAATTTACTATTTATAAGAATTATGATTTAATAATAATATTTTTGTTCATATTTAATAATAAGATAACATTTCTTTTAAATTGTCCTTATACAAAATATTTTATCAATTTGTAATATAGCTAACTAGTAAAGAAATATATTTTGACTTTGAGATTAAAGGGATATTTTACACTCTGTTCATAGAGATTAAATAAATAATAAATTGAGATAAAAGAGTGAAAATAAAGAAAAAAATTGAAATTAGAAATGTTTGGTGAGAAGAATTAATAAAAAAAATTAAAAGAGGTGAGTCCAACTTAGAAAATGATATTATTATGGTTAAATAGTTTTTTTTTTCACTTTATAGTATTAAGTTTATAATTTTATTTCTTTTATTTTTAAATTTATAATTTTAGTCCTTAAATTTTATAAAATTCACAACATAAATTATCTAATATTATATAGATGACACGATAATTAATATTTAATAATATTTAAGTTAAAATACATCTTTATTTAATATTTTTTTTGGTCTTTTAGAAGAAAAGATGACTACTTAAAAAGTCAATGAATATTTTTTTAAATTATTATTTATTACTTAAACATAAAAAAATGAGTCTTTTATAAGAGAAAATAGATTACTTCCAAAATTAGTAATTTTTAAAAAATTACTATTTATCAATTAAACATAATTTGAATTAATCTTAAAGAAAAAAGACATATACACTGTTTGATTGAGAAGATTTAGAGGATAATTTGTGTTGAGAGCATTAGTGTTAAAATTAAAAATTACATGTATTTGGTTGGTGAGGTATTGAGAAGATTTAGAGGATAAATTGTGTTAAGAGTAGATAGAGTGTTGACATTAAAAATCACATGTATTTGGTTGGTGATGATTAGAGAGAAAAATAAAGAAAAATGAGTGAGTCCTACATAAAATAATTTTATTGTAAAAGTGGATGAAAAATGTGACAAAAATAAGAGTCACTTGAACCAAAAATCCATGTTCTAAAACATCCCGCAACATACAATTTTGAAGTGTTCGACATATTTTGATCAATTACATATATTTTTTTATTCAATTTGTAGTCGAGTTCACTGATAATATGGATCGCATAATCAATTCTCTATTTATTCGAATAGTTTCATTTATCAGCTTTAGTCAATTTTGTCTTCATTGTAATTAATTATACATTACAACTTTGTTTAATTGATTTTAAATGATTATCACTTAAAGTTAATCAGTTGTAATTTGATTTATTTGGATTATATATCTAAATTTGTTGACATGATTAGATTATTCATTTAAAATATTATATGTTTTGATGTTCATTAGACTATTATAGTTTTATTTTTAAAAAAAAAATTCTGTAAATTATTTTAAAAAAATGTTTACAAATTATTCATATCTTCAACTCTTAAACAAGATAGACTTTTTCACATACCAAAACAAATTCCATAGTATTGTGTTAATCTATTACATAAGATCACAAAAAAAAATTATACTATTTTTTTCATCTAAACAAAATAATTTAAAAATAGTAATATTTTTCATTTATTTTTCTCAAATCAAATAATCTATAATTTCAACTTATTTTCTATAAAATTTTTCTCACATATTTCCATCTAGAATATATCTTGTCTATTTTTATCTTCCTTACCAAACAAAGTTGCAGCTTATGTTTACTAAGTAATAAAGAAAGGAAAAAAAGAAAAAAAAGAACATACAAGGTATATTTTCTGGTGTTTAATTAAAAAAGAAGAAGAAATTAACTTAAAAAAAACAATTTAAAATTTTTCTCATTCTCATTTTCTTTCGTAATTAAAATTTAATTATTTTTCTCTTATTCTCTCCATTTTGCCCTTGGTTGAGGGTGAGAGACTAAAGAAGAACTGAGACTATTTTTAAAGGTTATAAAAAAAGGTACTGTTCAAAAGCGTGCAGACAAGGGAGAAGGATTTTGCAGTACAAAAGAAAAAAGAGAGAGAAGCAGAAGGAGGAAGGGTGGATCTGGGTCAACGCTGTTTGACCCACATAAACGACAATAAAAGGGCCGTTTCGGTAATTAATTACTCCCACTTCCGTTTCCTCAGTTTTTTTTTCTTCAATCTTGTATTGTTGTTGTTGTGTCGGGGTAGGGTGAGTGAGAGTTTCTCATTCATCTCATTTCATTACTCATTACTCTCTTTCTCTCTCTCATATATACAATTTCCTTTTACCCTTCTTTATCCCTCACACACATAACATAAATACTTACACCAACACAAACTTAACTTAGCCACATTATGAGAACCAGAAGAGGCCTCTCTTATCCTTCACTCTCAACAACCATGTCTTCCGACCTCATCGTTTCCACAAAACGCTACAAAAGAAAATCACCCCACAACTTCTTTCACTCTCTCCCCGACGACCTCGTACTCTCCATCCTCTGCAAACTCACCTCCACCGCCACTTCCCCTTCCGATTTCATTAGCGTTTTAATAACGTAAGCAAAAAAAAATGTTTTTGTTTTTTTTTGTTATTTCATTTCTCCGTTATATTAATAATCGGTTATTCCATGAAACTAAACAGGTGCAAGAGACTAAACTCTTTAGGCCTTCACTCTCTGGTGTTATCAAAAGCATCCCACAAAACATTCTCAGTCAAAGCAAAAAACTGGTGCGACGGCGCCCACCGTTTTCTCAAGCACTGCGCGGACGCCGGAAACATTGAAGCGTGTTACACTCTCGGCATGGTTAGTTACATACCCAAAAATCTCACTTGAAAAAAAAATCATTTTTTTGGTTAATGTTGTAGGAAAGTTTGGATTTTGGGACATGGGTCATGCTGGGATTTTTTTTTTTTGGTGTGCAGATTCGGTTTTATTGTTTGCAGAACCGAGGGAGCGGCGCGTCGCTGTTGGCAAAGGCGGCGATTCACTCCCACGCGCCAGCGCTGTACTCGCTCGCGGTGATTCAGTTCAACGGGAGCGGAGGCACGAAAAGCGACAAGGACCTACGCGCGGGAGTGGCGCTGTGCGCACGCGCAGCGTTCCTCGGTCACATCGACGCGCTTCGCGAGCTTGGGCATTGCTTGCAAGACGGTTACGGCGTTAAGCAGAACGTAACGGAGGGGCGGCGCTTTTTGGTGCAGGCCAACGCGCGTGAACTTGCCGCGGTGCTCTCTGCCGCGACTGGGAAGCGCCCCTGGCTGACGTGGACGCTCCACCCGCGGGTCAGGTCTCCTACCGGGTCAGGTTGTCCGCTTTTAAGTGATTACGGTTGCAACGTGCCGGCGCCGGAAGCCCACCCCGCGAGCCGGTTTATGGCGGAGTGGTTCTCCGACCGGGTCAGGTCACCGGGTCCGGGTATGAGGCTTTGTTCTCATTCGGGTTGCGGGCGACCCGAGACGAGGAAGCACGAGTTTCGAAGGTGTTCCGTGTGTGGCGCGGTAAATTATTGTTCACGCGCTTGTCAAGCGCTTGATTGGAAGTTCCGGCACAAGGCGGAGTGTGCCCCCGTGGAGCGGTGGCTGGATGACGACGGCGAAGACGCTGCCAGTGATGACGGCGGCGCGGTCGGTGAGGGTTTATGATGGTTAATTGTTAAGACTGCATGCTTGGGAGTTTCAACGGGTATGAATCTATTTTTTATTTTACAAGAGGTAAAAGTAAAATGTGTAAAAGAAAGAGAAAAAAAAAAATCTCATTTATTACCATGGCCCTGCATAGTGCAAATTACAATGACAGGGTGTTGCGTTTTTCTTTGTTTCTTTTTTTTTGTTGTATAGAAGGGTAAATTAATTCTCCTGAAAAAACAAAAATGATGGGAGTTAATTTTTTTGTTTAGTTATCTATTGTTAGTTTGGTCAATAGAGCAACTATCATCCTTGATTAATTGTTAATTCCGGTTAATTAAGATATATTCACTCTTTTATGTTCTTACTATCTATTTGGTTGATTTTAGTTAACACTAATTCTTATTGATTTGATAATAAGGCATAATATGGAAATGCCTAGTCATTGAAATTCACATGTTGGGACTTTATTTATTTATTTATTTTTGCCTATTTCTTACTTCTGGAAGCTCTATAAGAAGATATAGACGCTTGAATCTTATTGATTGGGGTTAGGATTCAAGCATTGTTTAGTTGACACGTGTTGTGTTATCTACATTTCTTTTGATTTTTTTACTAGGCTATGTGCCTTAAACAAAGGTAAATAAGTATTGCACAATGCACATAAGCAACAACATTGGCTGGTAGAAAATAGGTCAAAAAGCTACGACATGTTGAGTTGGGTTTTACAATCTTGCCTCCCATATCCACGAGTCATCAAAGTGATAATGACAAGTGACAATAAAAAAGTGTTCACACTTGATGGCACCGATTCTTTGGTGGATAATTATTTTTCACTCTCTAGTTAAAACTTAAAAGTGTGATCAATCTTCTTTAGGAGAGATTTGGGAGATATTCTTGTATAATTGCATACAGAAAAGAATGTCCAGGAAAGTGTAAACCGGAAAGTATGAGTGTTGGAATATTAATAATCTCATTGGGAATCATGTAATCACTTTTGGTACATATATAAAAATGTTTTCCTACCCTAAATTGGATTAGGTCATAAATAATATTCTCCCCATGTTGGGAAACAATAGGTTGGCATTATAATTATAATTTTCTAACAAAACTAACATAAGATTATATGAAGATATTGTATATTTTTGTCCTTTGATTAGTTGAGAATAATAAACGTCTAAAACCCATTTTCAACAGGCATTAATTATGTCCAACTATTTTGTGGTCAAAGAGATAAGAGAAGTAGGGTTGAGAAAACATGTGAAAAATAGATGCATAGCATTTTGCAAGTTGGGGTGGGGATTATTATGTATCTTTTCATTGTACAGTATTTGAGGCGCATTGGAGAAAAAAAAGAAACAATATATTTGGATTTATGAGAAATAAAGATTGATGTGTCAGATGGTGGAAAAAATAATTTAAAGATGAAAGTGAGTGTGTGGTGGGAGCGCACTTATTCTTTCAGCGAGCCTCATTATTAATATTCAGTTGAATTTAAACACTACACATATCGGTGGGTGATCCAAGCCCAGTCCTATTAGCCCACTATCGGAAATTCAAATTCTCCATTCTATTTTATTCTCTTATTTTTTATTTTTCTTTCTTATTTTTTACTGTAAGACTATGTTTGGATATCCACTGATATGTTGTAAAATAGTAGTATGGAATGAGACGGAATATTCAAAGTGGGTCTTAAGGGTCATTAATATAAAAGACTAGTTATATCTTTATAAGAAAATTATTAAAAATAGTAAATAACAATTTATTTTATTTTATAATATTTAATATATTTATTTATCATTAAAAAAATAAGAATATCTTTATTAGAATTTTTTTTTAAAAAAAATACCAATGCAATTCGGTTTTCTAAAAACTAGTTCTTATCTTCTCAATCAATTTTTATCAATTTTTTTACAAATCAATTGTGATTGATTGATTTTTAATTTGACTAATCAAATTAATCGATCCAATCCGATTTTAATATGGGTTAATATATATCTTCTGGGCCAAAATAGTTATCTCGAATGAATAAAAAAATTATCTCATAATATCTATGATTTTAAAATAATATTAATTACGATGTTTCATTTATATGTTTAATATTAAGGTATTTTCTCATCTATTTATTACTTTTTATAAAATAAATAAAATTAATTTTATAAAACAATCTTTCTCTCATATATTCGTCACTTTTTTTCTTTTTTTTTTTTGTGTAAATTACTTAAAATTGAATGGAAGGAGTAGTAAATTAAGTACATAATAAAAAACGCCGCATTAAATTAAATCTACGTACGGCAGCTATTTATGCTTAAAAGACATTTTTTTTCTCCATCCATTTTCATCCATAGAAAAATTTTGATCATAATTTTGTCTCATTCACTATCTTTTATGTAATTCAGATCCATTAAGGTTTAGAATCTACCCTTTTAACACATGCCAACTTAAAACTAAAAGAAAAAAAATATGAAAGAAACTTATATTTTTCTACCTCAAAACCTTATAATTACAACCAATATGATGTAATGTATTTGATAATTTGATTAGAGGTTCGGTTCTTGTGTCTTTATATATGTAAAATTATCTATTACAAGAGATCATTCCTTTGAAAAAAATTCATCCTTCTAGTCTTTGACTCTTAATCACATGATATCTTATATAATTTATTTTTTCTACATAATTGTCTTAGACTACAAACCTGAATTACCTATTTTTGTAATATATTTTAAGAGAAAATTTACCACTCATAAAAAATAATTCAGTTAATATATCCTCAAAATTGTATGTCTTGTTGTATTTGAAGAGAAGAAATATCATTTGATTAAATTTGCTGTTATTTTAATATGGTATTTTGAATGATTTTATGCAAATAAAAAGAAGAGAAAGATTCCAGCTTGAAATAACAAAGAAAAAGATACAAGAATAAAATAATTTATTTCTTTTCATTTAGGTACAATTAAATTTAAACCTATCACTTTATAGAAATTATTAAAATTCTCACAACAAATCCAATTAACACTAAGAATATAAATCTCTGAAGGGAAAAAATAAAAATAATAAAAAGACAAAAATTTCTCATAATATACACTCAATCAATATTTTCTCATAACATGCACTCATCAACTGAGTTAAACTCACTCAATCAATGTTTATTGATGATGACAAATTTACCAGCAATACAATGAACTATTTTCTGAGAAGGAATTAATCTCGAATCTTACTATAAAATCAAAGTTTATTGTACTAGCTATGGTTGAATCACATGTTATTATCAACTGAACATGTCCAATTTTGTAGATTTCATATTTTCTTTATGGAAAAATAAACCGTATTAAAAAGGTAAAAGGGAACCATAATCCCATTTATGTAGAACAGATTGTGCAACTACCATTTTGCATCACCAGTTAGGACTAATTTATATTTAAATAAATATTATTTACAAGCTAACTACGGTTCACAACTATATATAGAACTAAACAAATACGCTCCCCCACATTAATTCCCCAACCACCAAAAACTGTATCTACAGCATGACAGAGTTCCACTTATAAATTTCATAGTTAACCAATTCAGATGTCCAATCTTCAAATATAAGTGAATGTTCATAATATTCACCTCATCAAGTAACTTCTTAAGATTGAGTTAAATCAGAAAACAAAATTTTTAATAATACTGTGGTTAAAAATTAAAACCATAATACCAAACTAATTTTCCTGAAGTGCACGATAGGAGTTCATGTTGTTATACATCGATAACAATTAAATTTAAATCTATCAATTTGTAGAAACTACTAAAATTCTTACAACTAACCCAATCAACTACATGAGATAATCTAACTTCGTAGTAATGTAGAAAAAGAATTCTCCATCAACGACTTATCACGTGAATGAGAAAACTCCATAGCCTATTATATATATCTCTGGACACTGGTTGTTGCACTATGAACAGAGGTATAATATAGCATAAGCAGATACTAGTTTTCTATGGATCGTTCAGGGATAATATTATTAATATGGCGTAGATAGGGAACAATCATATGGTTTCAGTGGGTTGTTGTATACATCCAAGTACAAAACAAGAATGGAGGGTTGTTGAGATATTATTTATCCCAAGAGAATCGTGAACGTAAGAACTCATTAACAAGTCCTACAACTACAAGTAGTGCTAGAAAACGATACGTCTTCGAGTGTTTTTAGCCATTATGTCCATTTTTGGGGGCCTCTCACATAAAGAAAACAAATTCAAGAGCACGCCAATAATCGTCATAATAAGAAACACTAAGCAATATTTTATAAAAGGGGGAAACAAACAACCTTAAATAACCATTATCCAGCACCATTTACATAAACCCTATTTCTACATAGATTAGTTACAGTCTTACCAAGTCTTACTAACTTCCAAGTATGTCTAGTCATAACCCACAAACAAGGTCACTCAGAAGCAAATTTTGTAAAGAAGTCCACCAAACTTAATCAGAATCAGATGATGATGATTCTGATCTCTGATCCGCAGAGGCTGCATCATCTTTTTTCAAGTTAGCCTCTCCCTGCTTAAATGCCTTGGCTATCTCATCAATGGGAATCAAAGGTAGATACCCAACGAAACTGTAACCCTTTTGAGTCATGACCTTAATCACATGGTTATACTTCTCTGACCAGTGAGCAGCAGTGGGAACTGCCATATCAGCCAAAGCATGGAATGGTGGATAGTGGTTGAGCCCAGCCCACAACTTCACTGAATTTATCAACAGAAAATGCTTCGACTCTGTAGCAACGTAGTGTACAGCTGCTCGTGGCCCCCCGGATTGAGCTTCACTTGCCACTTTCTCTGCCTCGTGTGTCAGTTTCTGAATCAAACTCTTGGCCTTATCGGCAAGCTGCTTAGCAAAAGGAGGAGCATGCACATCAAACTTGTGAGAAGCTTCATCCACCTGCCCAAATCATATGCTCTAATTAGTGTAGCCACTAGTCGCTTAATAAATTAATAATGACCTTAAACATTAACATGAATTTCATGCGCACCAGGTACATAGGACACTTAATTAAGATGCTGCCTCGAACAAAAGAATCAAGCCTCAATTCAAGGCAAAAAAAAGAAAAGTCGGGTAACTAAAAACTGCAACTTAAGAACTGAGTTTGAATTAATGGTGAGATAATCATATATTTGGAAACAAAAAATATCGCTTTTAGGGTGAACTCACCATTTGTACTTGCCATAATAGTTAAGATGCTGCGTTGAACAAAAGAATCAAGGCTCTATCCAAAGCCAAAAAAAAAGTGGGATAGCCAAAAACAGCAACTTAGGAAGTATGTGCTTGAATTGGTGATGAATTAACCTTGATTTTTGGAAGAATAAAATAGTTATTTTTGTGATGGACTCACCATGATTTTGTACCTACCATGGTTTTCTACCACTAAACCAAATACACTAAAAGGGTTAAACCTGTCCAGCATCACTAAGTCCATCTTAGAATAGTAGACCAGTGAATCAAAATAAAATTCATCCTTACAGAAAGCTAAACCTTTCCAGAATCATTAAATCAAAAGTTTAGCCAACCAAAAGAAGAACTCCCCAGTATTTTTTTTTAATTAATTTTAAAGCTTTGTAAGGAAATAATTTCCCCAAATACAATATACTTTTTGTCTGTAAGTAGCAACCACTTCCTTATTAGCTATTCAAGAACAGATCATGATCTGAGTTTTAATATAAGGATAGACATAAAAAGTAGGATTACAGCCTTTTCGCAATTTAGCCATGTCCCTCTAAGTCAGATCCACGGGAGAAACCAGAAAGTTTTACAAAATCATACAAATAAAAAAACGGTTTTCACCTATATACATGGATGTAGAAACGATCAAGGGGCAAAGGAAGAAACACTTACCTTGTTGTCAACAAAAACCAGGACATCATCAGGGACGTCCTTGAATTTGTTGCAGACAGGACCAAGAACGGTGGTTACAGTGTTCTCCACCGTTCCAACAGTGGATCTCAAAGGCCCAGAGTTCTGCTTTGCGTACTCATATAGATTTGACACAAACACATAAGTTTGAATAGCAGCAATCCTCACAAACCACAAGTGCTTTAGTTCTTTGTCATTGCTCTCAAACTTCGTATCGATCTGCAGGCATAAAGTAGATCACAAATTACTCTAGTTCAATAATTACAATCTCCACCTCCGTGGGAAACCAAAAAACAATCAGAGAAGGAAATTTGAGAAAAGTCAAAAGTATAATTATGCCAACCAACCTCAGTCTTGGCCATTGCTTTGTCGTGTTGGAACTAGCTCGTTGCTAAAATGTAAGGAATGGAGTTCAATAATGTTTTGTAGAAAGATGGAGGAAGAAAATGAAACACCAATAATTTCGACTTCTAAGGCCCACAGGATGGGCTGAAACCCGGGGTGGGGGAATTGGAGAGGTAACCTTCAACCTTGTTTGTTTGCAATTGGTTTAAGGGGGTCAGGGCATAGGACAGCTTATATTTATTCGCATCTAAATCTCACCCCACGGCACAATAGAATCCAAAAGACACGTCTTTGTGTTCGTCGAGGAAGGGGTGGGGTCCACGTTCGGACCGACTCCTAGGGATCTTTCTAGGCCAAACTAGCTATTTCTAGAAGCCACGTGGCGGATTCTCGCAATTTGAGAAACTTCTTCGGAGTGAGTGACCGGGATCCATATTCATTTCAAGTCAGGATTCAGTGATTCACGAATCACAAACCTGTGGACGGAGTTGTGTAAAATCTTACATAAACGTTGTGAAAATTTTTCTTTAGCTCAAAAATTTCAAATTATATCTAGGAAAATTAAAATCAAATATTTATCGAACCAAAAATATGGATGTTAAAATTCACAGGTCACAAACCGGTCGACAGGGTTGAGTAAAATCACATGCTAACGTTTAGAAACATTAAATTCAATCAACTTGAAAATCCATAAAGCTATAAGATTGCAACTGATATAGGGAAAATTAAAATCAAATTTGGAAGACTAGAAAACATTACATTAAGGACACAGAAGAGAAAATCTCAAATTTGTAACTTAGAACGATGGAACTTCTAAACTAATCGTGATTATCTAATAAATTTTTTAGAATATGATGTTAGGATATGTCCATGTTATAATTATTGATATTCCAATTATATATCATAATTTGTAACTTCGTGCCCCAAATTGTACTTTTTGATATCAACTTGCTTAGTGGCAGTCAATTTTTTAAGTTCTTTTGAGGTAATCATTCCAATCATAACTTCCTAAGATTCCAATAAACTTAATTTTTTAGTTAGAGATAATTAGTATTTGCTAAAAATTATAATCTATGACAAATTGTTAGCCTTCATAATGAAATGGAAGGAGATAACAACAACTGAATGAAGCTGTGGGCGGTGGGGACTACTTTGATCAACTAAAATTTGTGAAGAAGTAATAGCAACAGCATACTTGACGTGAGCCAATTACAAAAATAAAATATAAAAAAACTCGGCTAGGAATGCAGACCCCAGGGATTACTGCCAGGTCGTTGTAACTGCTACTACGACTACCAAGTGTTTATTTTATATGCCATATACGATGGTGTTAAAGGCGTGCACAGATCCATTTTTGTAACTATACTATCGGCAACTAGAGAGGGATCTGAAATCAGTTTCACAGGGCCTCAGATCTCTGTCGCTTCATATTTTGATGGATAGGCTCCTTGACCTACAATAGAAGGAAATTAGAAAAAGAAGAAAATTGCTTTCAGACTACAAACATGTCCAAATTACTCGAAGACTTGTAACATTAAAGAAAGAAAATAGTATATTATAAGCAATAAAGAAGCCACAACATACCGCGCTAGTTTTCCTTGGTCGTTTGTCCTGGGAAGACCTGCTGCATATGATTGTATCAGCTTCGTCCCCTTGATTTGCAATTCCGTTTGTTCTACCGTTCTCTTTGCCTAGGGCAAAACTCTCTCTTGATATAACTGGCTGTACAATTTCAAAATAAACTACATTAGTCATATGTATGCAAAACATTCGACTATATAGAAACTGGAAATTTAATTAATATAGCTAGCCTCAACCCTGCTTATAGGGGTGCTCCCCGGCTCTTTTGCCTTCGTCATTTTCTGTCCACTCCCGGAGTCAGTATAGTTTGTTTCCGATGTCACTTTCATACGTGTTAAATCTGAACCAATGGAATGGAGAATCCCACATGTGGACACATCATTGTTGTTTCCTGATTAACAAGAAAGCATAAGATTGTTGTAAATTGACGTAGTAACAATATCGAAAATCTGCGGAGTTGGAATACCGAATATTAACGGCCTTAATCCATTACCATTTAAACAGAAACCAGTTTTTTTGGAGTTACTATTTGGTTCACTGTGATCAACATCCTGTGAAATTTAGAAACGTGGAATTGGTAAACATACATTAAGATAAGTGATGATATAAACCCCAGAAACTCGTTAGTTATTACCATAGCTTCAGTAGCACAAAGAGCTTTCTGGACTTCAATGAATTTCTTTTCAGTCAACTCAGAATGGATAACACGTTTCCCTGACGTACCGTAGATCATAGAAAATAACAAGGAAGGAAAAACAAAATCCATAAAAAGAAAAGAGAAGGATTATTTATTCTCTGATAGTTAGCGTGTTTGGTTCCACCTCTGGAACCCTCTTCTCATACTAAATGCAGAACAAACACGCACTTAATTTGATACCTAATCTTTTGCTGCCTTTGGGTTCAACAAACCCATCCCGCACCATTTTATCAATTATCTTTCGCGTTGCTGACTGGTTTACTTCTCCATCAAGCAAGCATTGAAGCTTAGTGACTGACACGTGTGTCATTGGAAGAGCATGATAGAGAGCCTGCGATATTCTCTTAAGTTAGGATATAATATCTTATAAATAAACAAACATATGATAAGTGAACAATTTAAGAGGTCCTTGGTCATATTTCGTGCAGTGTACTTACTAAAGACTCCATCTCTCACTCTTCAGATGATGCATGGTGCTTTTAAAGATAGAGATAATTTACAATAAGTAACGTCATTAGTTTTTTATACGATACTAAATATTAGCAGCATCTTGCACAATTCATTTCAAGTCGGTATTACGAGAGTACTTTTACTTTGGCCAAAGAAACATCACTTATATACTTGAGCTATTGAGAATTCATTGTGAAGAAACGTGACATATATTACAAGTAAACCAAAGAGGCAAAGATTTTCATGTTTAACACCAAAGAAGAAAAGGAAAAATAAAACTCACTTTCATGTATATGCGATCTTCAACCAGCAAAGCTTTGTCAAAGACTTGAGGAATTTGACCGTCGTTTTCTTCTTTCACAACGGCGAACTCATATTCCAATTTCTGACATTGCAAATTCATCAGAGAGCGAGCAAAAAAGGAAAGGACTTCTAGAACCAAGTAAAAGGATCAAGAAAAATAACCTTGTCCTTGTTAATGCCATAGGTTTCCTTCCCTATCTTTGATAGAACACCTTCCTCTACAAGCTTGTCCATGATCTCTGAAGAACCAATCAAAATCAGGCGAAAGAGAAATAAAGTTTGCAAAGTGATAAAATCTGCAAAACAGCTTGAACATGGTAATTAAGCTTCATACCTTCAGTTAGAACCTGCAAGTAAAACAATTCAACTGAAATTATATTTGACAAAAGATGAGAAAAGAAAGTAAAATTATAGTGGATCATAATCTAACAATGGCTAAGCAAAAGCATCATCTGAATTAGCAGCGTTATAATAATAAGGTGAAAAAAATAGGTACCACGGAGATGTCTGGAAAATTTGATAGAACGTCAGTAAGATCAAAAGTGTCACGGTGACAACCGTTGATCCACTCCTTTACCCGGACCAGCTGTTGCTCATCCTCCATTGGGTCCTGGGTATTGTCTGAACATGATATAGATCATTAAATATTCTGTGCAACGGGCTAGTAACTGAATTAACAATTTTAAAGAACTAGAAGGAAAAAAATTGTGTGGGAGCCTAAAAGAATACGGAAAATATGATTCCTCAGGGTTGAGTTTATATAAACACATCTGCACTGACATTCGCACACACTTTTCTCAAGAAAGCAAAAAAGACATAATTTACCTTCATCAATCATGCCATTATCTTCCTGTTCTTGCTGTTTATCTGCCATTGTTTACATATTAAAAGAAAATAATGGGAAAATGGAGTTGTGAAATGCTACTAGTTACCTATTGGAGCAACTATGAATCGATTCCCTTGAGTAAGATCAACCTGAAAGGTGTGAAATGCTAAATTTAAGTATCACGATCATTTTCAATGCCAAGTTACCAAGTCAGTCAGTTTCGATCACTAAAAGCTTAATAGCAATGGCCATATCAAGTAACGTCCTCATTTACCTCACTGTCAGTATCATAATACTCATTCTGTTGCATGGAATCATCACCAGCACTCATATCGTCTTGGATTCCCTCATTATCATCCTCGCAAGGGTCGAGCACACTCTTCACCTACAAAATTGAAGAAGAAATCTTTGGTAAAAACATAAGAAATGCATTTAAAACTTTGCTGTGAACATGATATCCTTCCCTTACCTTCAGAGCTAATACAAAGTGCTTGCTGTTTACATTCCCAACCTCCATTTTCAATGGATTTTTCTCCCATGGATGATACGCTTCTTCATCTGCGCAGCCCCTGAAGAAAGGAGGCTCATAATCAGCTGGCTGCAGGAAAAGACAAAGTATATTGTGAAATCACCCTGTATATAAATCTGCCCTTTGTTTTGGCGTAACAGAATGTTAAAATGTTCACCGGTTGCATAGCAAAGTATATGACCAACGTCCTTAACCATTCTTAATCAAACAACTACCTAGCTGAAAGTGAAAATGCACTTCGAGTCTGGACAATACAGAAATTTATAAAAAATATAAAATCGAATTGAGATTTGCAATTCATGATAAAGAACATACCGTTACATCATCATAGTAGAGGAGCTTCATTAGAATGGTACGCTGGGGAAAGAATATACAAAGAAGTAAGATTTTGTAATGAATGCCTGCTAGAAGAGAGAAAAAATTTAAATTATCAAGCAAAGCATTTGAATTCATTTACCTCTTCTGGCATTTTCTCCAGAGTTCTCATCAACTGAACTAGAGTTCGGATCATTTTACATGCAGAACTCCTGAAGATTACATCGAATACAAACAATATTAATTAGCGAGTTAACACAATAAGATTGCTTCAGATCTAAATTATATTTTCTTTTGTGACATCAACCTCATCTGCTGGGGAGTAATTTCTGTAGTCGAGTTACACTTGAAGGTCCCCCGTTGCTTTTTGTTTCCCGTGCGGTTGATATTCATCGAAACCTCTTGATTTTCAGAATCCGAATAGCTAAAGGAAACTGCAAGATAAAATTAATATTTACGAATCCACCACAAATGTATAATGTTAAATTAATTTGGAATCCACACTTTGCCACTTTATAACAGTCATCCTTAAGGTAATAACTAGGCGAAATTATTTTCTTGTTAAAACAATAAGCTACGCGGTATTCATTAATTAGTTTTTCCGAATTCACTCATATTCCACTAACCAAAATTGCAAGCAGATGTGTTAAAGCCTTACATGCATATTCCTCAATCATTGGTCCGTCCACTGCTTCGCACACACAAAACAGAAGCGTCTTTAGGTATTTCTTTTGTAAGGCATCGTATACACCTGAAAAAGAAAAACGATAGAACAAATAAAACACGCAGTGCAACTTTGCAAGCAACACCAAATCGTCTCCTAGAAAATCAGTTAGACAATAGCTTAGACGCGCCTTTCTCCATCCAATCAATCAGTCTCCGAGACTCAGCATCCAGTGGCATAAGTTTTTTTATCTTCATCTCTGTCATTTCAGGCAAAGTTTTAGATGAAATTCACTCAGCGACAAATATTAGAAGATTCGGTGGAAAAATTCACTAATGACATGTTTTACCTAACGCGGGAACAGACTTATCATTGAAATACTTCTCAGGAAATAGTCCTCTGATATAACTGATATTGAATATGGCGATTCGGAGCAGGTTCCTCGTCTTGCAAATTAAATTTCAAATTAGATAATTCAGACTCTGGATTCATTTAGTAAAGCCTATCTAGTTGAAGTAACAGTTGGACGAACTTTTCTCCATATAACTTGATAGAATTAAACTTCTGTTAGCAAATATTACATGTTCTAAGAAATATTAAAGGCAACTAGGTGCTGAATTTAAAGTTAACCAGCTTTCAGTTTCAGATCTCGTTTAATCCTAATGATAGTAAATGGAGCTAAATACTAAGTTTCTGTTTCTGTCAAAGATGAATCAGATTATTTTTAACGAACCAAAAATGTTCGCTATATTCTGTTGGCAAATGAAATTCTCTCAGGTGTAGAATTTGATAACAAAAGAAATATAACTTTTATATAATATTGAGAACTAAACTTAATGAAGAAATCTAAAATATATAAATGATCAACAGAAAATGCAGCAGTGGAAGAACTAAGAGAAAATGCGAATAAGATGTGTAACATAAGAAATGCTTGAAGCAAAACGATAGTTAAGTACGAGAAGAAGTGAATCCTGCTCGGTGATTTCAGCTTCTTTGAGTTTCTGCGCAACGACCTGAAAGAAGGAAATGGAAAATTAAGAAACCGTCGGAGGGAGAGAAAGAAGAAGATGAAGAGAAAGGAATAGAAGATTGGAAGAGCCTTCTGGTCTCACCATGGTAGCTGAATTTCAGAGTCGCAAACTCAGTGAGAGAAAAGTTCAGAGAAGAGTGTCTACGCTTAGTTATAAAAAATTTGAATGAGAGGAATGTGGCGGGAGGAGTTGGAACTTGAAAGCTAAGGAGTGGTATTTATAGGCCGAATCTTTTGTTAGCTGGGGCCACGAAACGATACACCCCCACGCAAGTTAGCACTCACTACCGTTGAAGTTATCCCTGATTCAGTTATCTTGAAGGACGCTATTGAATTTGATTGTCACGCAAGTTCTGTGAGCGAATTGGCGCCAAAAGAAATACAGAAAACATGGGCTTCATCGATATAACATTTTATTTTCCATAAATAAATAAAAAAACTTTATAACTTATATCCTAATAAGCGAATAATTATAGAGTTAATTATTCAGTGTAAAGTTTTTTACACTTACTATCAATCAAATCTTTTAAATTATTTTATTTTATTTTTATTTCATTAAATAAGTAATTAACATGTCATTATTAAAAAATATAATTGATTGTCAATATAAAATTTTTTTACATTGACAGTATATAAGTGATTAACTCATAATTATATCCACGTATCTTTTTATCGCTATGCATTGTTTGATATAATCTCCGCATTTAACATGGAAAAAATAAATAGTTATATCCCCATAACTTTTGAATTGGGGAAGAAAAAAAATACGTGTTAAATACAATGTATTAAAAATTCATTTCATCCGGTCCCCTTCATTTTGCCCTATTTTAAATAATTAAGACAATGAAACCTAATACCGTTGTATTTTATTCCATTTTATTGCATTCTTTTCCTATTAACACATTGTTAGTACCGGAAAATGAATTCGGAGGCACTCGAAATACAGAGGTACTCAAAATCCTAGGTGATCAGAAAATGGCAAAGAAGTTTCTGAGGAAGGACACAAAGACACTTTTCGAGAAACTCTCGAAATCATTGTACCAGGAAGGACACGAAGACACTTTTCGAGAAACTCTCGAAATTATTGAACTAGGAAGGACGGTGCTCAAGAGAAAGGCTCACAGCCTCGCAACCTCTCAAAGTACAAGAAAAATCAGGAAACACTCGAGTAGTATATTTTTCGGTGGTTACTCGAAATCCCAAGAATCCGGACATACACGAACACACTTCGCAACCTCTCGGAATGAAGAACTTAAAGGAGACACGATTTAAGAGCGGTTGAAGTAAATCATGGGATAAGTGTCAAAGGCTGCAGAACGGTTTGGGGAAGTTAATGAGCAGTTCCAAGAGTTATCCAAAGACGTGCCCGGGAATAAGCCACGAGGTCGAGGTGGAAGTTTAGAACGGTTATGCACTTCCGGGGCACGTCAGAAACAGTTACCTTTCCCAAATCTTTGTCTATAAATTAAACGAGCCATGCTCGTAGCAGGGGGTCGAAAATCTAATTCCCACAATACCTCACATGCACTCCGCAGCCTGTGCATAAGGCATACTGTGCGTACGAGACAGCTTTGGGTACGATTTCTCGACCACCTTTCTTTTTCCTTTTTTAGGAGTAGCGTAGCATAGCATAATCTAGTCTAGTGTAGTGTAGTCATTCTAAACACGTTTCGTTATCCTTACGAATTGTAATTCTGTTACCATTTAATGAAAACTCTATTTCTTACTTGTACGATTTTATTTTTTCATTGAAAGTCTTCAATTCTGTCATGTCACAAACACGCATAAATTGAAACGTTAAATCGTGCTAGTTCGAATAAAAAAGGTCCATAAAACGAAATCCACCGTAAACACACATATAATATAAAATATTACTGTATAACTGATTACAGCGCAAACCACCAGTGGATGACATGAAAAATAATTTGCCAATATATTAGACTTGAAAACACATTAATATTTTCACTTATAAATATTTTAAAATTTCGCAACGAAACGAGATGGTTATATAAACATTATTAATTAATTAAAGAACACTAAGCAAACAAAAGGATTTATAATTATAGAAGTTTCATATGCTTTTTTTTGAATAACTATAAAAATATCTAACATTATAATATTATATGTTTATCTCGTTTTTTTTTTACCTTTTTTCTTGATGAACAACATTTAGTAAAAATAATATTCAGTGATATTTACGCAGTTATGATGTCTAACAAAAGGCGAAAACAAGAACTAAACTTCGGTTAAAATATCACTTTTCACATCAAGTGCCTCGAGGCATTTCCAAAAACGCTGATGCACACATACATGTTTACGCAGAAACAAATGTGCCTCTTGAAGCATTTCCAAAACACGCTGACAAAGTAAAACATGTTTAGCCCAGCAACAAGCACACTCGGAGATTCGTAATACGATTAGAAAGTAAAATCCTAATACAGCATAAACCAAGGGCAATTGAATCAAAAGTCGTGCTCGATTCGCGCTGAATTATTTTAGATGGAAACAATACTGATCTAGCTAGAATGGCACAAGACCCAAAAAAAAGGATGATGCATAAGTTATGTTACATCTTACATGCGATCACACACCCAAAAAGGGATACAGGTTAAATAAAATAATTGGGGATTTTTTATTACCAGGACAATAACCAACCAAGTATCCGCCGCACAAGTCTTGTATAATCTCGGTTTCTACACTCTTGTATCCTCCCCTTCCTTTTTGCTGGTTCAGTGTATACATATCATTACAATTTCCACAACAAAGAGAATGCTAAAAGTTAAATCATAATCCAAGAATGCTATGACATACAAAAGTGCTTTCCTTTCCTCGATATTGTATAACTCACAACTCATTCTGATAAGAAATCTCTTCTATTTGTATTTAGAGGATGTGCAGCTGCAGCAATTTTCTCCCGCAGGTTGAATTTCTTTGCAATTAGTGGGCGAACATCATCAACACCAACCAAGCTCTCCAAGAACGGAAGTAATAAAAGCAACTCTTGATCTGAACGATCATCAAACCAACTCTCAATCGGTATTCCATTGTCTACTTGGAATCCAAATGCCTAAGTGGAAAAAAGAATTCACAGCAGAAAAAGTAGTAAGTAAAATTTAGCGTAGTATTTTTGAAGAACTCTGTTCATTACTTTTTTCCTATGTAAATAAAAGACAAATATTTAATGTGTAGTAACAAGTCATTAACTAATTTTATTCAATGTTAACAGATATCTTCTTGCAAATAACAAAAAAATAGTTTTAAATGAAGGAGAGTAAACATCTTGTTGCAATCCCAGTCTTGTAGATGAGATTGACACATCGGTTAGTTGTTTCAGCAAGATTTCACAGCAATGATCTAACAATATTCAGAAGGCTTCCAAATCCAATTCTAATTATAGCAGTATAGCACAGTACAAATGTTAACAATATGAAGTGCGATATTGATCTTAGACAAATGAACGAATAAAATTACCTGTGGGGAATTGTCAATTATTATAACACGTGACAAATCACGACCAAGCACTGTTAAATCTTTGAGGTAATTCCCTTCCACATAAACACAGGATTCGCGATAAACCCGGTGGCGAAATATCTTCCGCTTTGGATCAAGCACATTTAGAAGTTGCTCGGCATAAATACTTTGACTAGCTGTGAATATAATAATCTCGAAAAGACCAGAAACTCTCTCAAGGAAATCTTGGAGGTGAGGGCGGCAGCGCACATAGACAATGTGCTCCTCAGAATTGAAATTAACAGGAAAAGTGAAGTCTACCTCCTCACAAGGTTCCAGGGTAGAATGCACCAAAGTTTCTGCAGAGTAAAAAATAAGAGTATAAATGAGCAGTTCAACCAAAAGCTTTGAGCCTTTGACCACTGTTATTTTTTAACAGAAAAGGAAAATAGACTGATATAATATTAACTACACATCTATAATGTTAACAATAGAAGCTTTGTACATGAAAGAATAATAAAAACACTTTTCACTATAAAAGCCCGTTTCTACCTCCAGGCTCAAGCAAGCATTTTCCCACAGTTGGATAACGTCAGGACACAAGATCACTTTAACTAAGGGCAGCACAGGCATGAGCTTGAACCCATGACCACCCAGTCACAAAGCAGTAACCTTAAGATTGAAACAGGGTTGGAAAGTTCACCCCCACATAACCACTATTAATGTTCTATGAAACTACACTGGTTGATGATATGTGATGGCATTAATGCGTTTGGAAAAGTTGAGAAAATTAAATTATTTTAATAATGATTATATGAATAATCAATTATTACTATAATCGATTATAATCAAAATGAAATTTTGTTTGGATAAGTTTATTGACAAGCAATTTTAAGATGTTTAATTTCGTTTGTATATAACAAAAAAACAGTTTCTATGTAGTAAATCTAATTAAAAGAAAAAACCTGTTGAGAAATAATCATAAGCTTCAATTTTCAGGTTCATAAAAACAGTTTATTTTTCAGAAGAAAAAAGATGTTTACAAATTTAAGCAGTTGTTCCAAATAGCTTTTTTTTTTCTGCAAACAGCTTTTTTCTCAACAAAACAGCAGAAAATTGGGATTAAAAGTTTTCCCAAACATGCACTAAGTAGCAAAATAAAAAAAAAAATTAAATAGTGGTATGACATATGAGCAGAGCAGGACCAATAAATTAAGTGAAATTAGAAAAGGAAATGCCCAACACATCAGTAAAATGTTGCAGTAAAAAAATACACATTGGTAAAATGTCATAAGTAAAATTAGAAAGATAAAACTAAAAAAGAAAATTGCTCAACGATAAATTAATGACAAGTCCAAAAAAAGTGGGGAAAAGGACATGAAATGGAAGACATCAAAAGAGACATTAACAGGACACTGGCGTCAGTTCTGTTGCAGCAGAGAGACCATCCATTTATCTATACTTAAAAAAAAAATCCGATGCACAGCTTATCAATTAGGCATGCAATTTAAATATTGCCATATATCTTACCATCCAAGTCCAGGACAAGAGTAGTAGAAGGACAACTCCGTGTCTGTTTAGGTAGCAACAGTCGCCTAAAAGTAGGAACCACCGTTGACAAGTCTGGTAAGGTCTTTATGAATAAGTATGGGTCGAAGTCATCAAAATCCTCAAATTCATCCTCCTCTGTGCATATTTCAGAAGACATGGGATCCTGACTGTGCTCATCGACACATTCCAGCTTTGAGTTTTTCATGGCAAGATATATGGCAGAAACTTCCAAGGAAAGACCGTTTCCATCATAATCAGAATTACAACCATTGACATTTTTTGTGCTTAAAGCATGCATCTGATTGTCACTGTCACATCTCCCTGAATTAGAGTAGTTGGACAAATTGTTTGTGTCTACCTCCATTGCAGTGTCAAAGTCTTGACTAACATGACCATCCACTGCATCTTCCTGTGGTAACTCTAATTCTTGTTTCTGAAAAATTTTGACAAAATCAACTAGAGAGAAACAAAAGAAAAAGATTAAAAATTATTTTTAAAATGTCTCATTGAAATTAGCAAGAATTAATGAATAAACAGAAGAAGTAAAAAGTAATTCAGAGCCAAAAATAATTTAAAAATGATACAATGTCAATTACCTCTATCAACAACTTTTCCTCCAGAATTTTTGGAAAAGTGAAATCCAGGAGAGAATATAGTTCCAGACTCCAGATGAACAGCTTCATTGTTACAACCCTGAGACATTATTTCAAAACATTTATAAAAACACAAACTATGTAAGAGAATATCCGGTTGAGTCATTTCGCAGTTGAAGTCTCTAAGTTTAAAAACAGATTTTAATCAAAAGATAAACTTATGTAGAAGCATGCACAGTCTCAAACACACACACACACACACAGAAACAGACAGATTAAGACAAGAAGAAAGGCAGTTCAGTTAAATTACCATAAAATCTAATGGAACGCCATTAACTGTATCATTTTCCAAACAAGCATTGGAAGTCTCACTGTCCATAAGCTCATATCCATCATTCAAATCTGTTGAGGGGATGGGCTTTCCAGCTTTATTCTCAAGAGTGCTAACTGAAGGACCAAGAAGATGAGAAGTAAAATCAGTTAATTCCCTATTTTCTTATAGCTGAAAGACGCATTGTTTTGGACATAATATATGCATACTGGAAATTCCAAAATAATAATTATAAAAAAAAGATTCATATAATGGAGCAACACAGTTATGGGTCATACATTGCAGAGGTCATAATAAAAAAATTGAAGGATAAATTATACATAGCAGAAATATAATTGACATAGATTATCTCCAAAAACTGAACAACCCATCGCCCTTACTTACGAGATTTACACTTTCTGGCTGATGATGTAATTAAGTCTGTGACTTTCTTTTCAACTGCTCGTCCATTTTCAGAAGCCTTCCTCTGTGATCTTGAAACCCTAGGACTGCCACACTCTTGACTAGCATTTCGCCGGGAGGATTTTTTCTTAGTTTGCATGTCCACTTTAAGGAGAATGTTCGACGACCTGATTAATTTCTGAGAGTAATCGAAGCAGCAAAAACAGTTCCAGAAAGACTACCCTGATACAGTGCATTCAGGAACAAATTCTCGAAGATCCCTGCCAATTGGAGATAGATACCTTAGTAATATCTAAAAGATTAGATACTCTCACCAAATGGGAATACCTTAACAATCAAGTCTAAAGCTAATCTGTTCAAGGAATATCCAAAACTCAACACTACGAAATACTTTTCCGATGTCACTGAAAATCAGGATAAATCTTCATAACGGCATAAAATTTTAGTGCTCTAACTTTTAAGTTCATATCTCCAACTAAATTAGTCTCATGGGACTACAATTCATACAATTGTCATCATAAAGAATAAAAGCAGGAAATAAAAAACATGTTCACACTCAAAATTCGCTCCAAAGCAACCAAACATATTTTCAAGAGCTATCCATACATCATCACATTAACTAAACGTTTAAAGAATTAGTCACTCCTTCCTCACGCCATCAACAGAATTCCATAGAGAATCAATTATCCAGCATCAATTGCCGAAACAGAGCAAGGAACAGATAAAACGGAACCTTCACATTGAAATTGCATAAAACCCTAAAAACGCAACAGACCCCAAAATACAACAATATAAGACACAAACATGAGCTAACCGAAGAAGCTCCAACTCAAATTATTGACAGGTGATATCGAAATCAAAAGCGATGAGCTCTCACGGAAAGCACCGCATTCGCAGAGGCTTTTCCTTCAACCAGAAAAAAAACAAATCAAAGAACAAAAGCAACAGAAAGAATCAACTCACAGAAAATAAGCTGAAGGAAGAGTCTAAAACCCTAGATTTGTTCACTGGTGGAAGGAGAAACTATATTCTCTCCTGTCTGAAAATTTCATCTTTTTTTTTGGGGGATGTTTTCCCTCCAATGAGATAGTGAGAGGGAAAACAATCGAAGATGGAAAATTATTTTTTTCGAGACGAAGGGATGGGTCGATAAGTAATAATGCAGAATGAAATATATTAAAAAAATATTTATTCTTTGTCCACCGAAAATTTGAATGCTTCCTCTTTTTTAAAATATACACGCGACGTTGTTTTAGGTGCTTACACGCGACGTTGTGGGTTGACACGTGTCCTCGACAGTGAGATTCACGGACATATAGGGTGACAATAATATAGTTGTTTGTGTGATTTTAAATTTCAAAACCAGATTCAAGTTTCTCTTATTAACCAACTTCTCTTAATTTACCTTTTCATGCACTTGTCTTGCCTGAAATTGCTCATGGAGACCTCAATTATAGGATATTGTGAATGTGAATTTAAAAATGATTTAATTTTTTATTTATTTTTTATAGATGTTCACCGATTTAACTTATTTTAATCTTTTAAAAGTAGAGTTTTTGTCCAAATTTAGGAAAAATAAATTTTTTAATCTTAATTTTACAAATTTGTGCAATTTTAATCAACCATCAATGTGAAAGTAAGCGAATTATTTTTCCAGTCCCTACCTTTGTTTTGCAAAATTATGTTATTTGAATCAACCATCATTTCGTGTCTTCACGGAACAATTCTTTTTCTCAAGAATGACACAAGTTAATTTATATGGAAAATGCTCCATCGTTCCAAAGAAGACGTCGAAATTTCTTTTGAATTATTAAAAAATTGATTTAAATAATAAAATATTAAATTAAATAATTATTTTATAATAAATTTATTAAAGATAATAATATTTTAATAATTCGGATGTTGATTTGAAATATGTTTAACTTATATAGCAGTGTTTAATTTATATTCATAATAGTACTAGTAAAAGAGTTATTTTGTGTTTCCGCACAAATGAAAGTAAGATAAAAAATAAAAATAATTAAAATTGAATAATTGGAAGACTCAAATAATTTTAACAGTTATAGGAATAAAATAGTTATTTATAAATAATCTTAAAAAATAGAAAATTACAAAATAAAAAACAAGAGTAAAATTGTCTATTTAAAAATCGACATAAAAAGCAGTTAAAAAAAATAGTATTGTCCTTATCAATAGTATAAATAAGTGAAGAAAAAAACCATCCAAATTCTATTAAACTGACATATATCATATTAAAATATATTTTATAATTTTCGCTGGTATCTTCCGTAAAAAATAATTTTATTTAAAATATAGTTGAACATTATATATAGGCGTCTCTCTCAATGAAAAATTTAAGAAGAAATATAAAATGATTTAACATTTAATTTGTTAAGTAACCAAAGATATTTAATATTTTAAACTAATACTCTGTTTTTTTACACCGTTAACTAATACACCGTTAATTCTTAAAAACTTTAACAGTTGCGTAAAAAAATTGACACCGTAATAATTAGAAATTATCATTAATATAACTTTTAGGATAATTATTATAAAAATTAATAAACTTATTATTAAATAATATTTTAATATTATTTTTTTTCATTATTAATATTGTACATTTTATTTTTCTAATTGCAAATAAGATAATAATTATTCGATCAAAATAACATATTATTATGTCATAATCTTTAATTGATAATGCACATTTGCGGGTGTAGAGAG